CATCCATGTGTGTGAACATAAATTTTCAACTTCTGTGGGTAAATACTGATTATCATTATTGCTGGATCATATGATAAAGGCACGTTTAATTTTGTTAGGAATTGCCAAATTGTCTCCCAAAGCCACTGGGCCATTTTGCATTCCTACCAGCAGTTTGTGAGTTTCTGTTGTTCCACATCCTTCTCAGTATGTGGTATTGTCAGTGTTTTGAATTTTCACCATTCTGATAGGTCTGTGGTGATATCTCATTGTTGTTTTAATTTGCATCTTCCCAGTGACATATGATGTGTTTTGCAAAAGCATTTTCTCCCAATCATGGCTTTTCATTTTCTTGAGTATCTTTCACAGAATGGAAAATTTTCATTTTAATGAAGTCCAGCTTATCGGTTCTTTCATGGGTCAAGCCTTTAATGTTGACCAGAGATTGTCTAGATTTTCTCCTTTGTTCTCGTTTAGGAGTTTGTAGTGTTTTGTTTTACATTTAGGCCTGTGATTCATTCTGAGCTGATTTTTGTAGAGTATGAAGTACGTGTCTACATTTGGTTTTTCGCATGTGAATGTGTCCAGTTGTTCCACTACTGTTTGTTGAAAAGTTTCCTCTTAAGCAACACAAATTTGTGCTATTATATGCTGGCCCACTTGTATGCAGATTTTCTTATAAACAGGTTATGTCAGCTTTTGGTATTGATAAATACTACTGTAAATATATTTTTCTCTTCCTTAAGATTTTTAGAAATATTTTCATCTCTTAATTATTACAGTACGATACACAGTACAAATAACAGAAAATATATGTCCATCACGTCATTTGTTATTGTAAGGCCTCCCAGTCAACAGTAAACTAATAGTAGAAGTTTCAAAAATTACATGTGGATTTTTGACTGCGCTGAGGATTTGGCATCCCAACCCCAATGTTGTTTAGAGGTCAGCTGTTTTCTCTTTTCTCCTATTGCCTTTGCTCTTTTGTTAAAAATTAGTTTAACCATATTTGTGTGGCTCTATTTCTGGTCTCCGTTCTGTTGTACTGATCTCAGTTTATTACTTTGCCAGTACTACACCATTTTGGTGACTGTAGCTTTCTAGCAAGTCTTAGAGTCAGATAGTGTCAGACTTTGCACTTCTCTTCAATATTTGGGCCTTTTGCCTCTCTATACAAACTTTAAATCAATTTGTCTATATCCACGAACTACTTAACTGTGATTTGGATTGGGATTGCATTGGCTCTGTTGATCAAGTTGGGAATAACCGATAATTTTACCATATTGAGCCTTCCTGGCTATGAACGTGGACAGTCTCCCCATTTATTTAGTTCTTGTTTATCAGTTTATCAGTTTTGTAGTTTTCCTCATACAGATTTTATACCTATTTTGTTAGCTTTGTAGCTAATATTTCACTGTTTTGGGTGCTAGGGTAAACAGTGTATTGTGTTTGTTGTTTTTTTTTTTAATTAAATTTTATTTTTATATTTCCCATACAATTACAACCCCCTTATTTTGACCCCAAGACCTCCTTTCCCCGCCCCTAACCCCCATAGAGTGTCTCTAGTTCATAGTTGTTTGTTGATTTTGATATTTTCTTTCTTATAGTTATTCTTTTTCCTGGTTCCTTATTTAAGTTTTCTAGATTCCTGCTATGAGTGAGACCATCCAGTATTTTTCTTTTTCTTTCTGGCTTATTTTGCTGAGCATGATCCCTTCCAGCTCCATCCATGTGGTGTATTGTGTTTTAATTTCAAATTCTACTTGCTCATTGACAGCACAGAAGAAAGTGATTGACTTTGGTATGTTAATCCTTTTATCTTGCAACTGTATGTTTTTTGATCCTATTAGGCCCTTTCTCTAGTGATGTATATACCTGGACTTGTGCACTTTCTCTTAAAAAAAGAAATCCTGTGGAAAGAGTAATAACTCAGTGGCATGGGGAACTGTGTCCTGAATGCAACTATGCTCAGAGTGGCCTGAAGGAAGGACTTTTATGTGGGACATATTTTTTTATTAAAATGAAATTTCTTTGATAATGTCTAGATCACAATAGTAATCTAAGCATCATGAGCCATCTCCCCAACCCAAACAGGAACAAATGGCATATTTTTTTTAATTGGATAGTAGAAAGTTACCTCAACATATGGTAATTAGACAATCAGATCAACTGCTTTTTAAACCTCAGACAAACTTGCTAAAGTCTGAGATCACCTAAGAGCTAGAAGCCTGGGATTCTGATCCCAGCTTTTCACACTGTTTTTGAGGAATTCCTCTGACTGAAATGCTCTGTAGCTACCAGTAATGGATGACTCCCAGTGGAGGTGGCTTTCCTTTGTCAGATTTGGGCAGGGAGCAATGGGTATAATATTTTTTTTTAAAGCTTTATTTATTTGTATAAGAACTGGGGTACAGGCCAGAGGCATGGTAGGGTGAGAGGATTCACCAGAGACAGAGTGGGGAACAGAACAGGCAGAGTGACGAAATACACTGCTGAGGAAAGCAGTGGGCAAGCCAGGAGAAGTCTGCTGTGCCTTGTGAGTATCTCGCTGGCCAGCCAGGAATCAAACCCACACTGCAGAGGCTCAGGACAGCTTCACAGTGCTATATGCTCAACCTGCTGCGCCACCGGGGAGGCCTGCAGTGGTATAATATTGAGTAACTATTTTACTCTTTTTGTACTTAGAATTCTGGAGATGTCAATTAAATGAATCCATGTCCAGTAATAGAGAATTGGTCGTTTTCATTAATTTCTCTTGCAGTATATAAACCAAAGAAGAAAAATGTTTATAGAGGGAAGGGTAAGGGCACCTTGGCATTTCAGATTCTCAGATTTGAAATCAGTTTTCAGTTTCAAGAATGAAAGGTGATAATGTGGTATGCTTGCACTTGATGTGCTTTACATATTGTGAATTCATTGGGCCGCTGTGTTGGATACCTGCTGATTACGGGGCACTGCTGAGGCTGGTGGGTGCTGGTGAAGCAGCCTCCTGAGTCTTACTAGTCTGATGGGGGGGAGCGATTATTAATAATCTACCTAAGCCATTGTTTTAATTGTGTTAAGGCTACAAAGGAAAGAAATAGGATGCCAGGAGAGCTTGCTTTTTTCTTCGTTAAGATGACCTGAGTGCACAGCTCATCCTGGTGGAAGGCAGCCTGTCTACAGTAACCTGGGGGTAGAGTCTCCATGCCTCCATGCTCATGCTCCTGATTCCATTCCCTTTTCTCACTTTGTCTTTAGAACTGGAACCATGTATTTTTTTTATTTTGACCTATTTTTTTGTTTTACCAGACTTCCCAGGATTGCTTAAGCTTATATTCTCAAACCCTCTGCCTCTCCAAGTGTGCCTGAGATGTCTGGCATGAAAAACTCTAGAAGTTTAAGAAAAATCTTATGGGTGGCCTAATTCTTTCATTTTCAGATAAGACAGTGAAGACAAAGGAAGAGAGGGAATACATCCACAATCACATGGGAAGTTAGAGCCAGAACCAGACCTCAATCTTTTGAGTTCAGCCAGTGCTTTCTATTACATGCCAACAGAAGAGGCGTTAGTCATTGGTGGCCCAGCCTCTTATCTTTGCAGAAGCTCTGAGAAGGGATAACACAGCGGCAAAAATACAAGTCCTCAGGGGGCCATAAAACACAGGCCTCACATTGCTCAGGATTGTTATTTCATAGAGACTTACCAAGAGTACCTTTCACTGAGAACTGAGGAAGGAAAAAGTAGGCCCAGTTCCTGCTGTCAGGAGAGTCATATTTTAGAGGAACATAGAAGGTACTACGTGTGTAGAAATAGCTTTAAGAGCAAAAAGCCTGTTAGGACTCCAGTGACACTCAGTGTACAGGAGGACTCTGGGAAGCCAGTGGAAGTGAGCTCCAGACTAGTCTCCCAGATGATTTTGCTAGAGAGATGGGATTCAGAGGGCAGGGAGAGGACAGGGGGCAGGACTTTGCTGGGACAAGAGAAGAGGTCTCTCCAGGCTTGAGAGGAATGATGAACAAATGGCCCATGCAGGGAGTGACTGTGCAGAGGGGCTTGGGAAGTTGGAGAAATACAGCTGGGCAGAAGACCTTGAGCTCTGAGCAGTCATAGAGATAGGGTGTTACTGTGCTTCACTTTCTCACAGGGAGTGTCTTGATGAAAGCCGGGCTTTTGGCAGATAAGTCTTGCCTGTTTAGGAGAGACATCTAGAAGGCCTCCTTAGGGATTTGCTGCAGTTACTGAGGTATGGAATGAGGAAGTCCTGGACACAGGTAGTGGCAGGGGGATAGTTTGAACTTCTACTGCTTTTCTTTGGAATTGATAAATCTGGATTCATCTCTTAAGTTTAACACAGGGTCTAGCTTTATAGTGATTTTTCTAGCCATATCTAGGTGGAGTCTCAAAATAATTGTAAAACCTGAGCATCTATATTTTATAATGCATTTTGAAACAGATAAGAGCTCATTAAAAGAGAGTGCAAGTACAAATGTCACTTCTTTTTACTTCCAAGTCCCAATCACTAAGTTAAATACCACTTAATTGACCTTTGTCAGTATGAACTCAAATTTCCTTTTTGATTTAAAGTTTCACCTTTTGAGGGCCTCCCTGGTGGCGCAGTGGTTGAGTGCTGGGCTTTGAAGCTGCCCGCAGCCTCTGCAGCACTGGCTCCATCCCCGGGCGACATGAGGGTCCCACATGGCGCGCAGACCTCTCCTGCCGCCCGCTGCTCCCCTCAGCAGTGTACTTTGTCTGTCTGCCTGTTCTGCTCTCTGCTCTGGCTCTGGTGAATTCTCTCAACCTCCCGCGCCTCTGACTATACCCAGTGCTTGTATAAATAAATAAATAAATCTTCTTTAAAAATAAATAAATAAAGTTTCACCTTTTGAGAGTTCGAAAGCCCCAGCATTGTATCAGTAGTTCAGCTGGCTGAAAGAATGCGATCTGGTGAGAACAAGTAGAGCTTGTCTGTATCAATTAGTTAAGCCTGACCATCAGCATGTGTAGATTTAACTGCACTGTCCTCTCTTTGTCTCCTTAGGAATATAAACAGAAGCTCGCGCGTGTAACCCAGGTACGCAAGGAACTGAAGTCGCATATTCAGAGCTTGCCAGACCTCTCATTGCTGCCCAACGTCACAGGGGGCTTGGCCCCCCTGCCCTCTGCTGGTGACCTGTTTTCAACTGACTAGGGCAGTTGAAATCGTGCCTCAGATTCCCATCTGTACCAGCAGAAAGAAGAGGGCAGGTCATGGTTGGAAATAATCTTGTAGCCCCAGTCCCCGGCCTCAAGAAAGAACTACAGACTCTGATTCTCCTCTCCAGCCTCTCCTGCTGAGCACAATTCAGATCAGTGGCGAGTAGAATCCAGTTTAGATTCATATTTGGAAATAATATGAATTTCTCCCATTTCCTGTTTTCATGCCCCTGTCAGTTTTCCATTTTTAACTCTCTTTACACCCAAGAAGTTCTGAAAATCATGTGTGCTTCTGGAACCTTTCAGAAAAATCTTGTCCTGTGTGACAGCATTTTGTCATGAAAGTGACTTCTCCTTTCTGAGCTGAGCTTGTTCACGTTCAGTACAGGCTTCCACTGAGGGACTTACTCAGGCGTCATCGGCTTTCCCAGATTCCATCCACCCAAAAGGTTGGAGGCACAACTGTGAAGCAGCTTTGCCATAAAGAGTTTGCCAAATCGAGGATCCTTCCTTACCCTTACTTCTAGCTATTTATAGTCAAAGCCTAGGTGCGTTGGTAAGCAGACAAGAGAATCTGGCAAATAAGATTCAAAGATGATCTGGGACAGAAAGTCACTGTTCAGAGACAGAGTAACAGGGATCACAACATAAGTTAAAAATAAATTATTTGTTTCAGGTTCCTACAGACAACCTTTCCAAGATGCATTTATCATGGGTCCCACCCACTGTCATAGAGGGTGTTCCTAAAAACACGATCTTCTGACCCCACTTGGTTGTGAAGGCAGTTATTGGAAATGGCACTGGTGGGCCCCGAAAGCTGAAGGCATGCTGAGACTCGACTTCACATGGGTGTTGCTTTGACCCTTTCTTTTGGGGAGTAGGGCGCACTAACATTTAATTCACTCTGTGGAGCATGTCCACGGTATGGTGACTAAACTTGAATATCTCCTTTGCAAATGACACTTTGTGCATGTTTGTCTGTCCGTCAGTTCACGCCACTGCACATGTCCTTGTGCCCATAGGAAGAGGAGTGCTTTGCATCAGATGTTACTGAATGGCTCATCTTGGGCAGGGGAAGGGGAAAGTCGGGAATATTAACGTGGGGTTTTTAAATTTCACTATCATGCCAGCTGACATCATGACTATATAATGTAGTTAGGATTTTTACCTTGCTTTTAGTAAAGGTTAGGCCTGTTAACTGTAAATCATTCTAATTTCGCAGGCTTATTTTTGACATTGGAAAGGGCAGAAAACAATTTGCCCCAATAGTAGAATAGGAATTATAGCCCAGAGGCTGAAATCCAAAAGCTGTAAAAAGGGAATTCAGTGATGGGGGCTTCAGAAACTCCATTATTTTGAGTAGTTATTTTCAGGATTACCAAAAAGCCAATTACATGTAATTTTACATGTTAAACATGTTAAAACTTAACCTATGTTTTTAAAAGTATAACAGGCTTCCCTTTAAGAAGTTCTGCTGCCTGCCATAAAGTGAGAACAATGAAAAGTCAGAGCAGGTGTTCAGTTTAACTCTTTGTAGAACCTAGTAGCATTTAAGCTATTTTTCAGATTTGAATTCAGACTGTGTTGTTTGCTTATTGACACTGCCTGTTGTCCTGTCATTATTAAATTAATGCGTATATACAGTTTTTCTTCAGAGGCCAGAGGGCAGTAGGTAACTTTACTAAAATTGCGAGATTAATTCCAATTTTGCTGTCTCAGCACATAGGCCCCTCCCCATGTGGCGTGCTGCTTTAGTCCTAACAGGAGCTTGTTTCTGAACAGTCCCGTCTTGGACTTCTCTGTGCTTTCACCCAGGAAGCAACATTCTACTAGCCACAAACCAGCCGGAAGGGTACAGTAGATATTTGATAAACTAGATGAAAATGTTATGACATAATGGATTTTGCCCACTGCTTTGTTCTATCTGATTGAGGCTGACGAGCAATTGGTGCATAATTACTACAACAAGAACAGGAGATGAATCTACGGCAATTATGTAAATGAATGTGTTGGCCTCTTAACACCTGTTACTAGTGGACTTCCTGTGAGGAAGTTAGTTTTGTTTTATAGTTTTTTAATGAAATGCTTTTGTTTTTTAAAATCTTAATTCTTCCCATATCCTCCCCACGTGTGCTTACTTCATTTGTTTAATTTAAATGAACCTTTCTCCTTGGATGTATGAGGTGATCTGGGGGTGGGGGCGGTGGGTGGTTTTTGTTTTGTGTTTTTCTTCTTAGGGCATCCGTGGGCCTCAAAGGACCTTTCCTTTAGGTCGTATTCCTCAAAGTCTTCAACCTAATTTTGTTCTTGTTTTTGTTTTTTTTCTTAAAGAATATTTTTAAAGCTTAAATTTGTATATTAATTTAGGACTTTATTTAGAAGTATAGGCTGTCGTTGGCGGCAGCAGTATATTCTGAAATGTCTCATAGATATATATTTTTGAATAAAGATGGTGTTGTTGAACGACATCGTGCAATGTTCCTTCTTCCTGTGCTGTTACTGAACACCCAGTGCTTCCTTTGTAAGCGGTGGGTAATTAGTAATCGCCAAAAGAGATTGTGCTGTCTGCACAGAATCATGTCCCTTGGGAGTTTTTGTGACTCTTAGTGGTCCATAAATACTCAACACTTACATAGTATTTTCTGCTGCTTTCCAGGGCCTTAATTAGCTTTAATTAGCCAGTTCCCGCAGTACTCAGGAGAGGTACCGCCACAGTTTTAGCCTCATTGTGTAGAGGAGGGAACCGAACGGAGAAAGGTTAAATGACTCTTTCCCTGGTACCACACGGTCTCTGACAGATTAAAACTTGGAAATTCTTTGAGTTCAGCGCTTTTGTTCACACCACGAGTCTCCTGAGGAATACTTGATTTTGTCAAGATGGTGCAGGCCATGCTGCACAGTAAAAAGAAAAATGCGAGATAATTGCAAACCCAAGTGGTATGTCTTTTGAAAACATTTTTGTGGATTTCCTTTATCCTTTATTTTTCACTTCTAAATGCAATGAAAGCATATTGACTATTACAGGTTGAAACTCAAATTAATAGAAAAACAGCTGGAAAGAGGCCTTTTGAAGCAATCGGTAAGTTTGGAAGGATGATTCTAACCTGTCCTCTGGGTAAGAGCAGCGCTTGCCCAGAGAAGTCGTCACCAGTCTACTCATGTTGCAAAAAACTACAGTAACTGTGGTCCCTTTTAAGACTAACTGTAGCTCAGGTTGAATGAAATCCAGTATTAGGAAAGTGGAGACTGTGCATTGCCTTCGGCCTCTCTTAAACTGTAAAGGTTGAGTCTAACGTGAATCTCAAGAGACAAGCTCCCCTTCTGTGTCCCCAGGTTTCATGGCCTAGTTAATGTCTTTCCTTCTACCTATAAATAGTCCATAATTCCTCTGGTTTAATTAGCACTTCAGGCTACAAAATGTGACTCTGTGGTCTTCAATGGAAGGTGGAACTACTACAGAGTTCATGAATCTGTCAAAAGACTTACGTTTTGTGATGAGAGCCATGAACTCTCTGTGTGACCTTCCTGGGCAAGGTACTTCCCTCTCTGGGCCTTGGTTTTCTTATCTTTGAATTGCATGGTATTGCACTAAATTATTTCTAGCATCTCTGCCAACTCTAAAAGCTTATGATTGTTATGTTGTTTGAGAAGAATGCAGGACTGAGTTCTGAGAATGCTGGACAGCATGTCAATATTTGCTAGAGTAATGATATCACCATTGTGCTTCACACAGCTTTTTTTTTTTAAAGATCCTATATGAAACCCTGGAGGTGCTTGTCCATAAGCATCAGAAAACAAGAGACAGTCCCAAGACTAGAAAGATGGGGTAAACCTGATTTATTTGCGATCTTTAGAAAAAAGCTCTTTTCCTGCCTGATTTGCTGTTATCTTACTTTCACCTAGGATCATGTGGTTAAACTCATTTCTCATCACCACCTCCCTGGGATTTTCCATTTAAAAATCATTCTTCCAGTCTGAGGCACAGATTCAATTAAGAATCCATTATTTTCCTGTACAGGAGATTGGGATTCAAACAGCTTTATGTAGTGTTGAAAGCCCAGTTCATTCAATTTTCAGACTCTGACTGTTATTTTGCATTAAAAATCATTTTTATCACTGGTTTGATAATTAAAATTAGCAATATGAATCAGGATTTATGGGTCTTTTTTTAAAACAAATAGAAGGTAGTTGTGGCAAGTGATAACGACATCTTCTGGTCTCTTGCTATGATGACCTTGGGCAGGTCCCTCAGCCTTTCGAGACCTCTGCTGCTGCTTAACGAAAATGAAGGCGGCTGACTAAGAAGCTTCAGAAGTCCTTCCCAGATCTAACGCTGTGTAACTAGGCTTTCAGAATATTTCTTTGTAAACTTAGTACCTACCTAATGCATTCTATAGATTTCTAAATGCCAGCTCTCTATGAATTCTTAGGAAATCAATAAATCAAAGTAGTTATAAATAGATGTTAAAAGGGCCGCGTGCCATGTTTGTGACAAGCTCAGGTTCCATGGCAGTTGAATGTAGGTTCTTAAATGCATGTGTTAATGTTCAGTAGGTAGTGTTTGGAAGGCACTGTTAGCTACTACATCTGCACCAGAGGCTGTATTGACAATGGAGACAGTCAGAAACCTGCAGCCCTTGAAACCCTCTCACCCACATAGAGGGGTACACATGAATCAGAAGTGAGAGTTGAAGGAAGGGGAATTTGAGTGGGGATGTCCTTGAAGAGAGCATTGCTCTGTTTTAACGGCTCCCAATGGTGAACAGTGGATGCCCCCTGCCCTTTGTCTCAAGGCTGGGGAAAGAGACTCGAGTTCAATATGTGTCCTCTGGATGGCAATTCCACGGACCCCTGCCCGGAAATATCTGAAGGTGCTTTGATGACAGAGCATGGGGAGGAGGTTGAGTTGAGTGCAACCTCCTGTAGCATTTTTCAGAGGGACAGGATGCATGCCTGCTCCTGGGGGCCAGATGTGGGCTCCATGCAAGAGACCGGTAAGGGGTCATCTCAGAGTCTGGCCAAAAGGTGAGGCTCAAGGTGCTGAACTTGCTACTCAGGACTGAGGAAGGAGCTGAGAGCAAAGAGCCAGGGAATGGCATCACCCCTGAGAGATGTCTGGTGATGGGGGACGACAATGGAATGTCTGGGAGAAGGAGCGGTTGAGCCACTCTGAGGAGTGTTGAAAGAACCTGCGTGAGAAAGAAGTAAACTCTTGCCAAGCTAGTGCCCCGTCACCACAATGCCTTCAGTAAGGCTCTTTGCCCTCTTCATCACCCCACCGCCCTGTTAGTGAATTCATGAATTCTGTGTGTACTTGAATGCAAGTTTTTTTATTGTGGCAAAATACATGTGGCATAAATGTACCATTTTGGCCACTTGAAATGGTTACAACTCATTGGCACTTGGTACATTCACAGTGTTGTACAATGTTGTATAACCACCCCCACCTTTGTTTATCCATCAGTTGGACATTCGAGTTGTTTCTGCTTTTGGCTCTTGTCAATAATGCGGCTGTCAACATTCTTGTACAAATTTTTGTTTGAGTACCTGCACTTAGTTCTTTCAGGTTTATGCTTAGGAGTGGATTGCTGAGTCATATTAATTCTGTTTAGTTGAGAAACAACCAAGCAATAGTCCACAATGGCTACACCATTTTACATTTCCACCAGCAGTGTATAAGGGTTCCGATTTTTGCACATTCTCACAGTTCTAGGTTCTTTAGAGAAAGAGAAACAAAAGGGTGTTTAAACATATATATTAGGTAATAGATACATATCAATAGATAAATGGAGAGAGAGCTGTATTTCTACACACAAGAGAACTTCACATCTCTAAATAGTTCTATGTAGATATATAGATAGATGATAGGTAGGTAGGTGGATAGGTAGCTAGCTGACTAGATAGATAGGTAGATAGATAAGAAATAGGTGAGAGATATTTTAAGGAATGGACCCACAATTAAGGAGATTTGGTAGTTTCAAAATCCATAGGGGAGACCAGCAATGGGAGACCAGCAGCCGGAGACCTAGGGATGAGTTTCAGTTCAAGTCCCAAGGCAGTTGGCTGACAGAATTCCTTGCTCACGGAGGATGTCAGTCTTTGTTAAGGCCTTCAACTGATTGGATAGGGCCCACCCTCATTATGGAGGGTTATCCTGATTTTCTTAAAAGTAGATGGATTTAAATGTTAATCTCATCCAAAAAATACCTTTACAGAAACATCCAGAATGTCTGACCAAGTATCTGGGCACTGTGACCCAGCCAAGTTGACACATAAAACCAAACATCACACTAGCCAACACTTGCTGTTTTCCATTTTTAAAGTTATGTTAGTGATCTAGGGCTTGATAAGAAAGTACCACTTGCTGAGTGGCTTATAACAAATTTCTTGTGTCAGAGTCTTGCAAGCTAGAACTCTGAAGTCAAGGTGTTTGTGGAAACTTGCTGCCACCAGAGCCTCTAGAGGCGGGTCCTCCCTTGTTTCTTCTAGTTCTGGTAATTCCAAGGGTTCCTTGGCTGTGCCAACGAAACTCTAATCTTTATCTCCATCTTCACATGGCCATTTTCCCTCTGTCTTTGTCCCTTTTTTTTGTAAGTATACCAGTCATATTGGGTTAAGCCCAACTAAATAAGCTCATCCTAATTTGATTAAATCTGCAAGGACCCTGTTTCCAAGTAGAGTCACATTCACAAATTCTGGGACTTTGGGGGTAGGGAGGGACACGTTTCAATCCATAATAAGAGCTATCCTAGTGGCTAGGAAGTGACATCTCACTGTGGTATTGATTTACATTTCCCTACTGACAAGGACATTGAGCATCTTTTCATGTGCTTCTTGTCCACTTGCATGTCTTTTTAAAAGAGATGTCTGCTCAAGTCCTTTTATTCATTTTTGAATTGGGTTATCTCTTGTTATTGAATTGTAAGAGTTCTTTATATATTCAGGATGCTAGACTATCCTTATCAGTGATGTAATTTTCAAATGTGTTCACCCATCCTATGGATGTCTTTTCACTCTCTTGTTATGTCCTTTAATGTATGCAGCAGGCACAGGGAGATAGTCTGCACACTGCCTTCCTGTGCTGCAGGCAGAGAACCCTGTTTTTTGCCTCTGGGAATACTTAGTGTAGTAGGGTTGGCCAGGTGCCAAATGATACACACTCAGAACAAAGAAGTATACATTAAGCTGGAAGAAGGAGAGAGATTTCTAAATAAGGTGATATGTTCAGCACTGGCTGCGAGTCTCCTTCCCTTCCTGCAAGAAAATGGTTCAGGTCCCAGGTACACTCTCGCATAAATATGTTTCATTTGCTAACCGGTCCTTTACAAGAATTTGCCCATGTCTGGATTAATGAGGTCTATGAATTAATGAGGGCTATGAATTAATGAGGTCTCCATGTATTTCCTAACATGAACACTTTCAAATTATCAGATGCTGCGATTGGGAAGTTGTGCTCTCCCTGGCCCAGGGACTCTTTGGATAACTGTCCTATCAGATACCCACATGGGCTCAAGGCCAGGTTAGAAAGCATTTCACTTCCCTGGAGAGGGTCTTTGTGATACTACTACCCTGGAGGGTGTGCTTCTTCTACTTCTATTAAATCAGATATGGTTCCTCCACTCAGGATGCCCTAGGCTAGAGCACAGAGCCCTGAATTTGGAACCCAGGTGAAGTCCCAACTCCATTGTTGTAGAATGGAGTGACTTTATATGAGTCATTTCACATCTGGGCATAGTGTCAATTTATCGGGAAGACTCAATTACTTCCAGATCTCCCTGGAGGCTTTCAGTCCATGTTTAACATTAACAAGGGCATGGAGAGGCACACAGGGATGGTCACAAGCTCCACTCTGATGCCAATGGTCTGAGTCCCAATCTCATCTCCTGACTGACACTTTGGCCAAGAAACTTCCTTTGCCTGTGTTTTGATTTCATCATCTGCACAGACTGATGATAATAATAGATGGTAGTAATGATAATAATAGACCCAGAGAGTTATAGGGATTTCATGAATCAATGTTGCTAAAGTAAACTGAGTTACATGTTTTTAAAATAAAAGCTGTTTGCTGATAAGAAACAATCTGTGCAAATACTAGGCATGCGAGCCTGGATGCAGCACAGCTGGACAGCCTTTCTTCTCTGCATGTCCCGGAGCAAGAACTGTGTCCTCTTAAAGTCACAGCTATTTTGAAAAGATGCTGAGAAGGGACACTGGCCAATAGCAAGAGGATAATACAGAGGGCTCCAACCCAGGCCTCCCAGGAAGGATGGTTTAGTCTGTAGACCAAGGAGGGAATTTGTGGTGATGCCCAATGGCTGTCGGTGGAGGAGGGCGTAGAAACGGTCCTCACTTTGAGGATAAAATGAGGAGGGAGTAGGAGATGGATGTTTCATTGGGGAGAGCTTCAGAACCATATCAGGAAGATTTCTTGCCCCCACCAAGGCTGACACACTTCCTGCCTGGGGTGTTTATGGGGAGCTTCTTGACTAAGGTAGATTATTGTGCAAGATGAAAGAGACAAGGCCCTTCCAGATCTAATCATCCTGGAATCTAATATTTCTGTTGACTTGGAGATTTGACTGTTGACAAGAGTGGTAGGAAGAAAGCCATAGCTATTTAAAAGTTCCCAAATTTGACCCTTGCCAAGCAAGGCCTCTACAGCATGTCTGCCCAGCTTCCCTGAGCACCTCCTAATGAAGTTCTTAGCAGCCTGACATTGCTGTAAGAACCTCCTCTACCAGTCCCCATGGGTTATGAAACTTCGGTGGTGGTGACAGCTTCTGGCAAGGTCGTAGAAAAACAATTTATCTGAGAGCTGTCATTATTCAAGAATCCAAGACACAATTGCCCAGCCCGCTCTTGATAGGGGCGGTGGCTGCCTTTGAAACTTGAAGAGGACCTTCCAGACCTGGCTCCTAGTTTCACTGGAATGCAGTGGCATCTGTTCTTCATTTCTATGGCCTGGAAGTCTGTGAAGTGATTCCCAAGAGTGACTTATCTCCCTCAGCCAAAACAAGCCCGGAGAGTCGTGATTACGAGGCAATTGAAGTTTATTAGACTGCGTGTTATACATGGGCTCAGATAAGCTGTGATTTGAGTCAAGCCCTTCCTCCACCCACCACCATTTACTTGACCAGCCTTGGAACAGACTGATACTGAATCCCCATCCCTGGAGGCATCCAACAGAACATACGTAACCTCTTACCTGGGGAACACATTGCAGAGGGAATCTCAAATCCAGTAGAACACGGGCTGCAAGCTCAAATGCCTTCAAGGCCTGGGCAGGCCAGGGAAGGAGAAAATTTGGCCAACTGTGGACAGAGGAGCGTGACAACTGCTATACAGTTCAGCCAAGTGTCAGCATGCTGGGAGGCAGAGCCCGTATTGCCAGATTGTTCAATTTATCTAAGAGAAGGTGGAGACCTGGATTTGTGTGTAAAATTCTCTCCATTTTTAAATGTTAGCAACCAATCTAAACACCGGTTGGAAAGTTTTTTAAATTTTTCTTGAAATATCAGTTTATTTTTGCAATACCAGTTTGTTGGCAGTATCGTTTATCTGTTTTGGAATACTAGTTAGTTAGCTAGTTAGTTGGTTGGCTTTGGAATGCCAGTTTATTTGCCACCTATGCAAGAACAGGGTGACTTTGCACTGAGGGCCTGTGATAGGAGTCTGCATAGTTGACCATAATCCGAGGGAGAATCTCTGCTCTAGAAGACTCTGTTAGTCTTAGGGCAGAGCCTACAGGTGCCTTCCAGGTAATTCAGATCAGCTCTTTGCAGCCTGCTCTAGAGACAGAAGCACTGGCCTGAGAGTGGGGAGGCCTGGATTCTGCTCCCAGGTCCTTCACTAATTCTTTGTGACCTTGGGAGTCTCTGTCCTTCTCTAGCCTCAGTTTCCTCACTGGGATTGACTCATTACCTCTCAGGTTCCTCCTAGCTCAAATGGCCTAAAGCTCCTGGGAGAAACCCAAGAGGAGCGTTTCCAAAAGAAAGGCTGGTTTTTGATTTGGGGTGAAATGGTTGTTTTCGGGGGACAGTTGTACATCTTCAGATAGTTCCAAAAACAGAAAAGAATTTACCAGAAGGGAGACATTGTCCAAGGCTTCCAGAGTCTTTGTGCCAAGGTCTTAGGGCTGATGGAGGTGATCTGTCAGCATTTGTCAAATGCCAGTGGAAAAGTCTGGGTGGTGATAGAAGGCAGATGGGGCTGGTGACAAGTGGAAACAGTCAGGGGAAGGGTCACGCCAGAGACTGGGTTGATTCTCTGTTCTCAGTCACTCCTGGGAAGTCCTTCCCTGGACCTCATTTTCCTCTTCTGAAAATGAGGTTGCCTGACTGGTTCCTGAATCCCCTTTGAGCCATGGAGTTCTGCAATTCCTATGAATAATTGTTTTCCAGGTTGTAGTTTTTCATCTGCACGAGGACCTTAATTTTTTTTTTTTTTTGATTCAACAGATGTTTCTTAAATATCCACTGTGGACAGGCAGCACGGATGCCACCAACAAAAGCAGATACAGCCCTTGCCCTTGGGGCTTTTACAGTCTTGGGGGAGATAGACAGTGACCAATCAGGTAAAGGACCAGTGTACCAGCAAAGTGCCGTGATACGACAAGGTTTCAACAGGTTTCAAAGTGAGCCTTGCACAAGCTGGACAGGGACAGCTTCTTTGAGGAAGGGACTCTTGAATGAGACCCAAATGTTACAGATTAACTAACTTCTTGAAGGAAAGGTGCCATTTTTCTGGCTCCCACTTACAGGCAACCACCTTGGACTACAAGTCCCAGCATGACATGAACCAGACTTCCTGATGGGGGAGCTACTGGGAACAAGGGGTGGAGCTCAGCAGCCAGGTGAACCTACATAACACAGAAGGCAGGTGGGCTTGCACTGAGGAACTTGAAGGGGACACAGGGAGGAGAGACATGTAGTGATACTTGGGAGAGACTTGACTGAGAGACACGTGGAGAGGCTATTCCTGATCCTTGGCAGAGACAATGACAGCCGTTATCTTGACCTCTTTGTAGGTTATGTGTTTGTATTTTCTCTCTCTCCTGTCCTAGCTCTCTGGAACCTTCCTAACCCCTTTCTTGTGGTTCCTTAGACTTGTGACAAGTTTTCAGGCCTCAGTGGCCCCATTTCTGGCCAAGCCTGTTTGGCTGGGCATCTGCCCATGAAGGGATGTGTAATTTGGGGGATTACATTTACCTTTGTGTGATAGATGGCCGTACGCCTTTTACAGTGGGCATCCCTTAACGGTTTGGGGTCCCTGCATATCCCTTGGTCACATGCTTACATAAAGGGTGATGGATGTTTAACGAAGTGAAGAGGACAAGAAAATATATCTAGAAGAGGAACAGCATGTGCAAAGCTGTACTAGGAGGGCACAGGGCGAACTTGTGGTACTGAAAGGTGCCAATAATGTTCACACATATTCTCTAGAGGATCTTCACCAAGGGGAAGACAGTATCGGATCTGCCTTTTGAAAAAACTCTTCAAAATACTGTTGGGAAGAGACAGTGATGGTGAAAGTGATGGGGGAAGGAGGACCAGAATGGGTGCAGGGGGACCAGTAAGGGCTACAGCCTGGTGAGACAGGAGGGGGCCTGGAAGTCAAGAGAGAGTGAGTGGTGATCAGACTTGTGAGTTTGGGTTATCAGCCAACAAGCCTTGGGGAGAGGTGGGATGAGGATTTGAGGCCAACTCCTGGCTGTCCAGGCAGATGCGCCTCAAGTGAGCTGGGCTGTCTAGATGTGTGTCCCAGCCACGGCCCCCCCACCCTGCGGCAGGTGGCCTCTGATAGCACCCCTGTGATGCCCTGCATCCTGTTTCCACAACCTGTGTAACTCCCCCCTCAGTATGGGCTGGACTGAGTGATTTGCAGCTAACAAATAGAAGTGAAGGGTGAGGGGTGGCTATGAAAGGACTGGTTTCACTGCCCTTGCTCTCCCTCCCTTGCTAGCACTGGGGGAAGCCAGTTGCCTTGGTGTGAGGGGGGCTTTTGGAGGGGTCCCAATGCACAAGCTTGGAAATGCCTCTTTTGAGGATTGGGACTGAGTTGAGTTTGGAATCTGAGCCTTTCCAGTCAAGCCTTGAGATGCCCAACCTCGGAACTTGACTGCAGTCTTGCGAAAAACCTTGAGTCAGAACAACTCAGAACCACTTAAGTGCCTTTCAGACTCCTGAGAATGCCTGAGTTCATTGCTGGCTATTTCCAGCTATAATGTGTTGGTTAGCAATCGATGATCAATACAGCCCTGCTCACACAGGCCGTGCACTCAGCCTCCCTGGGGCTGGGAAGGGAAGGGTTACAGGCCTTCAGGCGGGCAGCAAGGTTAATGCCTCCAGCTTGAGGGACAGTTCATTACAGAGTTATCTAGCGGCTCAGCCAACATTTGGGTCTGCTGCCAACTGGGCCTCAGCCCTCCTGTGGAGCCTGTCAGAGCAGGAGCCCTGGAGAGAGGGTATTCTGGAAACTGACAGATTTATTTATTAACAGCCTCGCCTCCCTGCATCTGCCCATGAGGTGCCAGCTGCAAGAAGAGGCTCTACGGCCACGTCCCCAACGGGGGTCAGGGCTGCTTCAGCTCCTGGGTTGCAGCATCTTCGGGGTCTTCTGTGTTGAGTCCAGCAGGTGGTATTGAGGGGCTAGTTACCCCAAGCCCCAGAGACTGCCAGTAGCCACAGTCAGCTTGTCGGGAGCACCTCCTGTGTGATGAGCCCTTACACTCAGCACCCCTAATCCTCACAGTCACCTGTGAAGGTAAATGCCGTTTAGAAAACCAAGGCCCCAGGGCACGTTGCTGGGAAGCACCCTCTGACTCCAAAGTTTGCACTCACGTCTGCTCTGCCTTCTCTGTGGTGAGGATGTCTGTGGTGCCTTGGTGGTTTAGGGGGGCTGTTTGGGGGACATGGTGGGACAGTTGAGAGGCAGGCTTCCAGGAAAGAGCAGCTCTACTGTTCCGTGTTGGGTTATTAAGGAACTGTATAAAGTTTCGTTTGAAAAACAGAATCACAAAAACCAAAGGCAGCCAGGCAGCGTCGTGTTTCAGGATGTGTGGTCTGTGTGGAAAGTGTGGTTCTGGCCCCAAGTGCCCATGCATTGTGTGATCAAGGAGCTTATAATAGACCCCACCTGTGGGAAGCAATGGGGAGAAGTCAGGTGCAAAAAGGCCTCAGCATCGTCCTGGCACGGGACCCTTCCAGCGTGCTGGTGTTTAGAAGGATTTGCCTTTGTAAAAGGGGTTTGTGATGTTGAAAAAACCTCGACTCTGAGCTATAGGCAGACCTGGAAGACTGAACAGTGACCTCCCCCGTGGAGAAGCCCCCGGTCAAGACCACCACCCTGGGGTGTGGGGGACGTGGCTGTGCTCTCTGCCAGAAAACTTGAACTATATATGGGAAGGTAAGTCTGGTGGGGTGGCAGGGTGGGGTAGTGGCATAGTTTGAGGGGAGGGAGAGCTTGGAAAGAGAAACAAACGTTGTGGTTTTCTCTGAATGCAGGGCTGGGAGAGGGGAGTGGACAAAGATAAGATTAGAGATTGTTACAAACATTTCCCGGAGCTGTAAATCCTCTGTCAGTTTACCAGCCCTCAGCCTTCACAGAGGATTAAGCTGGCTTGGAGAGAAGCGGTGGGGAAAGACAGGCCGTGTCCCAAGGCGGACGGTAAGCAGAGCTAAGGTCCAGCCTGGAGAGAGGCCAGCCTCTTACGCTGAGTCAAGTCCTTTCTTCAGCACCCCTGTCCCTGCTTGAACCCTTCCAGTAATGGGGGCGCTGACGCACCGAGGGAGAAACCTCTTCCCACAGTCCACCTCTGAATGTTCAGGACTTCTTGGCTGCCAAGTGCAAGTCTCCCCTCCTGCAGCTTTATTTAAAAATTCAGTAGGTTGTTGTATGGAAATATTTTAAATATATTCATATTTATCATTGAATGAATATATTTTAATATGTTTATAGCCAATAAAAATGCTACATTTTCTTGGTAATTTTAGTTAACAGATTTAATAGATTATTTGGGGCTCTCTCTATACATAATCATGTCCCTTTCAAAGATGACTTTTTTTTTTCTTCCAATCTCACATCTTTTATTTCTTTTCTCATCTTCTCTCTGGATTTGCTGCAGGTTTGAAGTAAAATGCTGAATAAAATGCACAAAGTGGGCACCCTTGACTTGTCTCTGATCTCAAAAGAAATCGCTTGCAATATTTTACCATCAATTATGTTAGCAGCACACATCAACTTTATCAAATTACAGAAATTCTCTTCTGCTCATGATTTTCCAGATTATTATTCCTTCTGTTTAAAAATTATGGATAAGTATTACATTTTTATCAAATGGTTTTCTGCATGTCGTTTTTGTCCTCTAATCAGTTTATGTGCTGAATTACATGAATGAATTTTCTTATGTTAAATCAACCTTGTATTTCTGGGATTAGCCCATTTTGCTTGTGGTATCCTGTTATATATTGATGGATTTTTGAGGCTAACACTTTATCATGGATTTTTCATTTATATTTATGAGTAAAATTGGCTCGTAATTTTCTTTTCTTGCCATTATCTTTGTCCTATTTTGTATGCAGGCTATATTATTTCTGTATTAATTTTGTATGCAGGTTATATTAGCCTCCTAAAATGAATTGGGGATTATTCACACTTTTTTGCTGAGAGAGATTATCAAAGACTAAAATTGTTTCTTCTTTGAATGTTGGATAGAACTTGCCAGGGATGACATTTAGAGTTGAAGTTTTCTTTATGGAAAGAAATATTAATAACTGATGCAATGTCCTTAATTTTTAGGGGATTATTGAGAACTTCTATTTGTTTTCAGTCAAAATTGGTATATGATGCCTTTTTAGGATGTTCATGCATATTTATTTTCAAATGTATTCTCACAAAGTTAGCAAAAATATCTTCTTTTTTCTTTAATGTTGGCAGCATCTGTAATGAGGTCCCACGTTTTATTCCTAATATTGGGCTTTGGTGGCAGGTTTTCTCTTTGCCTCTAGATCCATTTCATTTAGGATTCATCAATTTTACTGTCTTCAGAAAACCAACTTTCCTTTTGTTGGGTTAGCTCTGGTTTAATCTAAGTATTATTTTATTAATTCCTGCCTGTGCCTTTATTTACTTCTTCCTACTTTTTTCTTGAATTTGTTTTATATATATACTCTTTTTCCAACTTTTTGGGGTAAATGGTTATCAATTTTCTGGTTTTTTTCTTCTCTGACATATTTATTTAAGGCAATAAATTTCCTCTACATTCTGATTTACCTACATCTGCAAATTTTAGTATGGCTTTTCTCATTACTAATGAATTAAAAATATTTTCTAGCTTCCTCCATCAGTTCTTTCTAACCAATGGGTTACTTAGAAGTGTGTTTTTAGATTTCCAAGCATATGGAAATTTTCTCACTATCTTTTCTTATTGATTGATACCTTAATTATAAGTTATACTGATATGTGCTCAGATAATATGCTCTGTTATGTTTTTGGTTCTTTGACATTTGGTGAGACTGCCTTGATAGCTCAAGTTAGAGTAAAATTTTGTAAATTGTCTTATGTGTTTAAAAATGAGGTGTTGGATGCAGACTTAACTTATATGTCCATTAGGTCAAGTTTATTCATCATTTGTGTTTAAACCTCTCCATGGCCTTATAAATGCTCAGTCCTACTTGGTTCTCTCTTTTTGGGGGGACATAGGCAGATGCACTTCTCAATACCCTTGGAGAGAGGAGAGAGCATTTCACTAGTTTTAGCTAAAGAGATTGAATGAAAGTGACAGGTGTAGGCCATGATGTTTAGGAGCCAATGTGCTACCTCCACACTTCGTCTCCTTTGGAAGCATCTGTGGAAAACACATGTTGAGATGGCCATGTCATGGGATGAGAGAAGCCTGGATCCTTGGGTCACTGCATGGAGAATTGCCTGACTCCTTTGGAATTTGTGTGAGTAAGAAATGAACTTTGTGGTGTTAAGTCACGGAATCTTTGGATTTCTTCGTTACTGCAGCATAACCTAAAAATATATTCTATATCCAGCATAACCTAAAAATATATTCTATATCCATTCTCCAAACCTGGAGTAAATCTCACTTCATTTCAAAAATTTCAAAAATTGGTTGTTTAGTCATGATGGAAACTAAAACCATCTTTGTCATTTAGTCATTTTTTGTTTATTCAACAACACCAAAAATCTACCAGATTCTAGACTGTTTTTTGTGGGGAATGCAATATGAAGCCATCCTGGAACCTGCCATAGGGGACTTATTTCCCAGGGGGAGGCTAATGTGAGAAAAAGGAAATTTAGAATGAATTCCACATACCTTTCCGGAACGCTTTCTGCGTGTCAAACTGCTGGTTCTGAAAACACAGAAAGGAACAAGATACAATCTCCTCCAAAAGACTATGTTTTAGTATCAGAAATGAAATGGGTCCTTAACCATGTGAAATGTAATAAGTGCCAGACACATTATAGATACCTAATAAATCATCTCTGGTGAGTGATGTGAATTTCCAGGGTTCAGAGGAGAGAGAAATTACCTCTGAATGGAATGTATCAAGGATGTCTTTGTAATGGCATTAGAGTTGGGCCTTAGAACTCAGTTGTTGGATGTTCAGAGAATTAG